AGCCTCAAGCCCAGCTAGCAGCCCCAGGATTGTGCATTCCTTAATCCATCAGTCACTCACTCATGCATTCATTCACTGGTCCATCCACTCACTCACTCACTCTCTCGTTCATTCCACAGACAGGTACAGGTCCACCCAGGCGCTAAGCCCTCCCCACCATGGGGTCCGTTTGAGGATGGAGACCGTGGTACTCAACCATGGGTCCCTCAGCACCTGCCAGCACATTTGGTCAAAGCCACTGGACTCAGGCACTGAGGCCTGGGACAGAGCAGTGGGGCAACCCTGACCCCCAGAAGCCTCCATGGGATGGGGAGCCAGGTTCTTGAGCCGCCTGCCAGCAAGGCCACCCACGCAGATCCTCATCACCTGGGATCTAGGCTCTGCCCAGCCGACCCCACAGGCATTGTCTGGGCCTCAGCTCTGCACCAGGTCCCACTCGAGCCCCGCCAAGGTAGGTGCAGGGATCGGGAAGCTGGCACCACCCAGGAAGGGTTGCCTGGGTCCCGGCATCCTCTGGGCTGCAGCCTCAACCTCACACCCCCACGTCTTTGTAGTTACCGCTCAGCCCCGTGTCCTGGACATGTGTCCGGCCGGCCGCAGGGGAGCTGGCTTGGCTTTGTGAGCAGGGATCCCGGTCCCGAGGTGGGAAGTTCCTGGCTGGGCCAGAGAGACCCAGAGTGACGGGGTAGAGGGTGGGGGGACGAGAGGAGGGGGGTCCCTGGCGCTCCGGGCACAGGGCAGATGGGGGTGGGTGGTCTGGGAATGGAAGGGAGAGGGGGAGAGAGAGGAAGATGCCGGGGAGAGGAGGGAGATGGAGGGAGATGACGGAGAGCAATGGAGGAGGAGGAGGGAGTGGGGAGGAGGGAGGGAGGGGGCGGAGGAGGGTGCAGGGGAAGGTAAGGGGAGGTTCTGGGATGCAAAGGCGAAGAAGGAGGGGCTGGGGGAGGGGTTCAGAGGTCCCAGGTGCAAGGGAGGGGTGCAGGTGTAGAACGGGAAGCACAGAAAGGTGCTCAAGGGGGCCGGGGGCAGGGGTGCATGGGCGGTGCGCCCACCTTTGTGCACGCCGGTGTGCGGGTCCTTGAGCACCGTCAGCTCGTAGATGCGGCCGAACTGTTCGAACAGCGGTTTGAGGTCCTGTTCGTGCAGGTGGCGCGGGATCTGGCCCACGAAGAGCTTGATGGCGTCCAGGTCCTTCATGCCGTCGGGCCGCGCCCCGGGGCGCTCAGGCCCGCTGCCGCCCACCGGCCAGGCCCGGGCAGGAGATGCGGTGCCGCCGCCGCGTTGCTCGGTCAGCGGCCCCGCCCGCGCGCGACTGCGCCACAGCGCTCCCCGGGGCCGCCTCGGGAACTGCAGGAGGTGGCAAGCGCCGGCCGCGGGAAACTGAGGCCCACAGGTCCTGGAGGTGTGGGGGGCAGCAGGCTGGACGCGCCCATCAGAAAGGCTGACAGGCCTCCCGCGCGGGTCTTGGTATCGTTAACGTGTCTGACACCAACAGCCATTAGATCAGTTCCGCAGCCTGGGCTAGTCTGGGCTACATGGCAGGAGTCTGTGTCAAGCCAAGATGAGCAGCCCCGGATGGTAAATAATGAAAGCCAGCCTGTGAGGAGGACACACAGGACCGCAGGGGGATGACAGCGAAGGAGGGCAGAGAAGCTGATGGGAAGAAGCGGACTTCTAGGCTAGACCTTGCAAGCAATCCTCCTTGAATCCTGGGATGCCCTCCACTGTCCTGCTCATATTCTTAAATTGAAGTTCCTAGTGCCACAGACACCGTCTGGACCCATGCTGTGTGTCATTAAAATGGTGATATTTGCAGGGTGATGGTGGTTTACACCTTTAATCCCAGCACTCAAGTGGCAGAGGCAGGTGAATTCTGTGAGTTCAAGGCCAGGATGGTCTTACACAGTAAGTTCCAGGACATCTGAGACCTATCTCAAAAAATAAATAGGTGTTCTAATATTCATTGCAGATTTTTGAGTGTTAATTTTTAACTATGCAGTGAAATATTCTTTATGCTAATGACTGAGTTTGCCTCCCCAGAGGATGTGAAGGCAAGAGGATTAGGGGTTCAGGGTCATCCTTGGCTACAGAGAGAGCTGGAGGCTAGCCTGGGCTTCATGAGACAATATCACAAATACAAGAATTAAATGGGGCCGGGCGGTGGGGGCGCAGCCTTTGATGCCAGCACTGGGAGGCAGAGGCAGGTGGATCTCTGTGAGTTCAAGGCCAGCCTGGTCTACAGAGCGAGTTCCAGGACAGCCTCTAAAACAATAGAGAAACCCTGTCTCGAAAAACCAAAAAAAAAAAAAAAAATTAAGTGGGTGAGTCCTGTTCGTTTGTTCATATAAATATATATACATATATATATATATATATATTTAAATTTGAGAGTTTCTCTGTATGGCCATGGTTGTCTTGGGACTTGCTCTGTAGACCAGGCTGACCTGAACTCACAGAGATCCTCCTGCCTCTGCCTCCCAGTGCTGGCATCAAAGGCGTACACCACCACTGCCTGGCTAGAATTTGTTTTTGTAAAACAATTTACCCATGAGCAGGAGTGTTGCCTGCATGGCTGTGCACACGTGTGTGGTTGTGAGCTCTGTGTGGATGCTGGGAACCGAGCCCTGGTTTTCTGCAGAGGCAGCTGGAATGATACCCATTGACCTAAGGTCCAGTATTCTATAAAGCTTGGGGGGGGGAGTGGTTGTGAGCTCTGTGTGGATGCTGGGAACCGAGCCCTGGTTTTCTGCAGAGGCAGCTGGAATGATACCCATTGACCTAAGGTCCAGTATTCTATAAAGCTTGGGGGGGGGGAGGTTTGAGACAGGGTTCTCTGTGTAGCCCTGGCTGTCCTGGAACTCACTATGTAGACCAGGCTGGCCTCGAAGTCAGAGATCCACCTGCCTGTCTCCCAAGTGCTGGTATTAAAGGTATGCACCACCATCACCTGGCAAGTCCCCTATAATTTGTTTTAAAGAACAGGAACGGAGACCCAGAGCAGTGGATCCTTTGTGCAAGGTCACACACAGGAGTACTGGAGTCTAATGCCAGCTCTGGAAGCCCAGATGCCTCCCATGATCCTTTCTATGGTTCCTACACTCCAGGCAGCCTTGGCTCAGCTTCTTCATTTGACATGGACACTAGAGAGAGAAGGAACTAGAAAGAGAAGGAATCGGTTTCCTGTGCTCTTGACTTCACAGCCGATGGCGTTGCCACGGCCACACTCTGCAGGGCTCAGGGGAGGGGCAGGGAAAGCCCCCGGGGGCCAGGGGTCATCTCTGAGTGGCAGGGAGGGTGGGAGGTGCCAAGGCTGGTCCTCAGACAAGCTGTTTCCATGGAGACCAGAGCAGGATGCTGGGAGCTGGGCGGGTCTCTGAGCTGTGAGAATCGCTAAAATGCATCGAAATGGGGGTGGGGGGACCAGGGCTCCTGGGAGCCAGGGATTCGGGTCAAACGGGGGGGGGGGTTGCCATCTGTCCTGCAGTTGTCATCCACCTGCCTCAGCATCAATCCCTGGGGTAGCGGACTTGAGCCATCTCAATCCTCAAAACAAACACGTGGGCAGGCCCTGACAGGAGGCTAGGCATGCTGCCACAGCTCCCCTTGAGCCCAGCACCATGTTGTCCCTAAAACAGCAACTGTTTGGGGACTCCTTCCCTGACACCTCCAATCCACGAGACATCACCGTGTTGCAGAAAGGTCTGCTGGTCACAAGAGACAGGCGGTCGGAAACGTGGGAGGGAGGCCTTTGCAGACGCTCGGCTGAGTGAACTGTTCTGAATTCCGCTGTGACAGGCACAAGCCCCCCCAGGGCAGTCTCCCCCAACAAGGACCCCAACTCTAAGCACTCAGGAAAGGGGCCACTCTCCCAGCTGCCAACTTTCCTCCCAGGGCTCGGGGGAGGCAGGGGACCAGGCCCAGACCCCGCCAGCACTTGTCACGAGCTGCAACCTGCCCACCTGCCCAGTCCAGGCACTATGGAGGGAAGTGACTACAACCTCAACCTCTTTGCTAGTTTTTGAAGCAAGGTGTCAAGTAGCCCAGGCTAGCCCCAAACTCACTGTACACTCCTACTGCATACACCATGGCCAGCCTAAAAACTGTAGACAGTGTGGTGCAGGCCTGTCACTCGAGCTCTTAGAAAGCTCTCAATGACGCCCTACCTCAGAGGCAGAGGTCATCTTCTGGCTGCTGCCTGTCACTGTCTGGGGACTTGAGCACCAATTTGAGAAGCTGGTGTGGCAGCCACATGGATCCCTAGAGCTGCGGAGGCTGAGGCGGGAGCCCAGCTCAGAGGTCCTGAGTCCACAGGAGAGGTGGAGGCCGCCAAGAGGGCTCAGTGGGAAAGGGTGCTTGCTGCGAGGACTGACAGCTCCAGTGCGATCCTCAGAACCTTCATTGATTGAAGGAGAAGACAACCTGCCGGTCACCCCGAGTCCACTGCGCAAACACGCACGGGCATCTGGGGACATTTCTAAGTCACAGCCCCTGGAGTCCATGACCCAGCAGAGGTGGATCCTATTGCAGATTCCCAGACTCAGTGGTCAGGATGTCACCACCCGCTGGGCTCAGGATCAGTGTTAGGATGCTCTCTGCCAGGCGGAAGAGATCAGTCTGGGTTGTTTGCTCCCTTTGACGGTCAGACATGAGCAACCCTGTCCACCCTGTCCTGAGCCGACAGAGCCCAGCCTTACAGCACTAGCGGAACTAAGGACAGGGACTTGAGTGGTGGGCAGGTCCTCTGGGAGGAGCTGGGCCCTGCTGGGAGCTTGACAGGGGTGGTGTTTTTAGCGAGGCCCTGTGCCATGTGCCCAACCTCTTGTCCACTGAGAACCTGTACGGCGCACGAGGCAGTTTTGTCAGGACGGGAAGGAAGGGGCTGTGGTGGCCGGCAGGGCTGATTCCCCCCAAGTCCAGGACAGCAGCTGTGGGCCCAGAGGGGGCTCACGGTCCCTGAAGGCAGGAACAGCAGATGTTCCCCAGGACACCTGCAGGCGTGGTCCTTCAATATGGCTTTTATTTTTCTAACCTGCCAACCGTAGACCCCTGCCACCGTCCCCAGACCTGTCTGGATAGAGGCGGCCCACAGTGACGGGTGGCAGCGGCCTCAGGCCTGTAGCCAGCTGTGAGGACTAGAGTAGGGGCTGCACCCCAGCAGTCCGTGGAGTGAGAGTGCCCAGGGCCAGGGCAGCAGGCCGGTCCCTCTCACCACGACACAAGTGCCACCAAGGGTGACAGCCACCACTGCTGCGAGGCAGAGGCAGCACAGCGGGCCAGGCCTCCCTCAGCAGGTGCTGGAGGGACACCAGAGGCTGGCCCCAGCAACCCCCCTGGGTCATATTGCTATTGAATCCAGTAGATTCACCGTAGGGCCCCTGAGGTGGACTGCCAGGACGGACATCTCTCCCTTTCCCTCCCTTGGCTGGTACCAGAGGGCTGTCCCGGGACTGTGACAGAGGAGCCACCTTCCCAGAATGCATCAGAGGAAGGGAGACTACGGGGAAGGGGAGAAGGAAGGAGGGAAAACCTCAGGGCAGCAGGCCGCCACTCAGGCCACCCCCTGCCCTGTCACCAACACCTGGACCTGGGTGGAGGGGACATTTGCCGGAGGGGAAAGATGGTGAGGCCGGAACACCGGGTGGCTCAGGTTCAGCTGGGGACCGGCTGGGTCCAATGGTGGCCAAGGAGACAAGAGGGGGAGAGGCCGGGGAAACGGGAGCCACAGCCGGGTGCTGGCCAGAGCCAGGAGGCAGCCTGGGGAGCTGTGGAGGCGCAGGCTGCAGGGACCCGGCCACTGGGGAGGCCACCACGGCATGCGGCCTTCAGTGCATGTGGCGGGGTGACCATTCTATCCATTGGGCTCATCTGCAGGTGGGCGGGATCTCCTCCAGGAAGTTCGAGGAAATGCACAGGAAGGGGCAGCGCCCCCGTGTCCCAGTGACTGATGAAAACCTTCTGCTTCGGGCTGCGGGCGCGGGCGCGGGCCGGTCCCTCCTGGGCCACCTGTGCACGCCGCTGTCACTGCGCCTTGGCCTTCAGCAGCAGCCTCTGCACAGCCCTGTACAGCACGTGGAAATGCTGGCGGGGACACAGCACGTTAGGGAGGGGACCCCAGAGAGCCACCCCGCCCCCAGGCCCCCCCCCACGCACAGCAGCTCACCTGGACGGCCGTGTACGCCAAGCCGAGGTATGCCCCGATGCACACGGCTAGCAGCAGGTCGAAGATGGCTGGCTTGACCCTGAGGGACAGTCACCGGGTCAAGGGTGCAGAATGGTCGCCTTGAGGATCAGGCCCCTTGGCTGCAGCCCAGCACTCACCTGTATGCATTCATCACCTGCTTTAGCTGGTCATAGAAGACAAACTCAGGGTCCCTGCCAAGAGACAGCCCTGCTCAGGGTCTCCCCGATGGAGGCTCCATCACAGAGCTACCTGGAATGGCAGCCATTGGGAGGCTGATGCAGGAGCATGACGGGTTTGAGGCTAACCCAGACTACAGGTCAGAAGCTCAATTGAGAAAGCTAAAACTATTTTGAGTGTGTGTTTTTGTTTTTCAAGACAGGGTTTCTCTGTGTATCCCTGGCTGTCCTGGGACTCTCCCTATAGGCCAGGCTGGCCTGGAACTTCTGCCTTGTGAGGACTGGGGGGGGTTAAAGGTGTTTGCCACCATTGCCCAGCTTGAAAATATTTCTGTGGCAGTCAAGAAGGGGACTAGAAACTGGCTCTTGTGCTTGTCTTCTGACCCGACCTATGTCTCCTGGCTGGGGACAAGGCGCTGGGGACCCAGGGACGGTGGCCAGATGCTCACCGCTTGTCAGCCTTCACATGGTGCTGCCGCACGTCCTTCAGGTAGCGGCTCAGAAAGTGCTCCAGCGTACTCAGGAACGTCCCATCCTTGTCCAGCAGTTGGGCAGCCCGAGGCTGGTTGGTGAGCCAGTCCATGACTGAGTCTAGCTGTTCCTGCTGGACCTGAAGGGGCAGGCACACACTAGGGTCACACGGGGTCACAACAGAGGCCCCCTGGCCTGGCCCCACCCCACCCCACACTGTACCATCTGCTCCGTGAACACCGGCATGTCCGGGGGCGTCCCCTGCAGAGGGAGGGAATAGGGTGTGAGGCGGCCCAGCAGGGCTGTGTGCACCACACAGTAGGGCCAGGACCAGATGGCTCGCTCACCTTCTCCGTCAGGTTATAGATGACCCGAGTTAGGGCCTCAGCAATGATCCGTGTGTTCCGTGTCAGGGTCTTGGAGTCCACCCGGGACCTTGAGAACACAGGGATAGGCCCCTCAGACAGGAGGGCTGTGCCCTGTGCCTGGGCTCTTAGACAGGCAGGGCCAGGCCTAAGAGTGTTTGGTCATGGACACCAGGCAGGACAGCCAAGGCCCAGTGCGGCAGGGGAGCAGCAGGCGTGTTGTGGGGACGGGGCCCAGGACACCCTTGAGGGCCTAAGATGCCCTGCAGGGAAGGGGTGGGCACGCGACCTTTCTTCAGCCAGCAGCCAGCCTGTGCGGGCCCAGGTCCAGGTGTGTGACCAGCTGTTGGCCTCTCACAACTTGTTCCTGGCTCCTAGTCCCACCCCCACCCTGGACAAGTGCCCACTCCCTGCTCCATGTGGCCATACAGCCGTGGCCAGCCCATGGAACGTTCCAGAAGATGGCTCAACTCCCCTTCAAGGAATGCCACTAGCAGTGGCCTGTGTCCCAGCCCAGTTTTGTCCCAAGAGAAGGTTCTACCACGAAGCCCCAGAGCCCGACCCCACAACAGGCCCACCCCGTCTCCTCTCCCATGGAAGATTCTAAGTGCCCCTCACAAACGGTGGCTGTCTCCCTTACAGAAGCTCCTGTGGTAGCTGCGCACTCCCTACCCCCAGCCCCTGGCTCTGAAGGGAACCGAGCCCCAGAAGCGGCATTCAAGGGCACCCCAGCTCACCGCACGTCCATGATGCTGCTGCGCGGCCCCGCGCGGTGGCTCTCCAGGTGAGACAGCGTGAAGGCGGGCAGCCTGCGGATGGCGAAGCGCTCGTGCTCCCAGGCCAGCACGTCATCTGCCAGGTTGATCTTCTTGTGCACCATGGAGAAGCTGACGTCCGGGAACTGGTGTGCAGCCACGGTCTCCAGCTCACGCAGGAAGGCGTGCTGCAGCGTCCCCTCCCGAGGAGGCTTTGACACATGGAGGCGCAGGTGGCTGCCCCGGCCCACGGTGTCCAGGCACAGCACAAAGGCCACATTATCCTGCAGCAGGCTTGAGTCTGCGGGCAGGCTTGGGTCAGGGCGTGAGGCCTTGCCCACCCAGGCCCCTCCCACCAGCCCACCCAGCCACGCCCCAGCCACCTGTGTGGTCCAGGCTGTCCTCCAGCCAGCGCTTGGTGCCCTGGTAGTTGAACTTGCCCCCTCCCGACGCAAAGAACAGGAGGTTGTACCTGCAGATGTGGGTATTACGGCCAGGTCGCAGGTCCCTGACTGGACACATGGAAACCCAAGATCTCTCCAGACCTACCGCCAGAAAGCACCTCCTACACCAGGCCAGCCATCCCCAAATATGACAGCCATGTGTTTCCAGAAGTCACAGAGGTCCCCGGGGGAGGCCGCCAAGGACACTCACATGGAGGAGCCCAGACTAGCGCTCTGTTCCCAGACTCCCACGCCCCTGGGTGCCAAGGACCAGCTGATGCACCTTGGCCAAAAGGACCCTGAATCTCACAGGCGCTCTGCACCTGCCTGGGGACCACAGGCAAGCCGCCCAGTGATGACACACTGTGCCAGGGCAGCCGCTGAGCCCGGGCTGGCCCTGGCCTGTGCACTGCTGACTGGCCACTGTCACACAGCGCTGCCTGCTGACTTTAAACACGGGAAGCTCTGCCCCCTCAGGGCTGCAGACTCATGGCCCAGGGCCACCCGGTGAGCCCCGGCTCACAAGTGTGGGCATGGAGAGGGTGGAGGTCAGGACCCAGGGCAGAGCGCCACTCCAGATGAGCCCGCCCCTCCCAGGGACCAGCAGCTCCAGGTGTGGGATGGACTGAGGGCCGCCCCATGGTGGCACTCACGCTGCGTGTGTGCGCTTGTACGTGTAGAGGCGCGAGAAGAGACGAGCCAGCTCCAGCAGCACCGAGATGCCACTGCCGTTCGAGTCGGCGCCCAGCGACAGCCACTGTGGGCAGAGACCGTCAGTGACGCCGCCCGCAGCCCAGCTCACCCACCCGGCGTCAGGCCCGGGGACAATCGGGAGGAGGTAAACGTGGAAACCCATGCTTTTAGCCCCAGCTCGGGAGGCTGAGGCAGGGGGATCTCTCCAAGTTCAGGACAGGCAGGGCTTTCAGAGACACAATCTCAAACAAAGGAAAGCCATGGGTGGTTGGGGCAGACTGCCCTCAGACTCTGAGACAGACAGACAGACAGACAGACAGACAGACAGACAGGGCTGGGGCCTGGGAACCGGCTGGCACTGGTGTCGAGTGTGGCCGTTGGCACAAGAGCGGCCCAGAGGGTCTGAGTGCTCAGTCCCTAGGAGTGGCACTACTTGAGAGGGTTGGGAGGGGATGCCTTGGGGGAGGAAGCTGTCACTGAGGGTGCACTGTGAGGTGTCAAAAGCCCAGGCCAAGCCCTGTCTGTCTGTCTGTCTGTCTAGGTCTGCACATCAGGATGTAGCGATCAGCTACTTCTCCATGCCGGACAACTGACTCTGAAACTACGAGCAATCTTTTTTAAGAACTGCTGAGGGCACTCTGGGGCCCCTGCCTCACCTGACGCTGTGGTGCCTGGGAGGTGTCCACATCCCTCCCTGGCCTGCATACCAGGTACTTACCGGGGCCACCCCAAAGGCATCGTAGTGAGCGACAATGACAATGGTGGGGAGATCCTCACCTCCCAACCCTGTCAGCCGTCCCTGTGGAGAGAGTAATGGATCCCAGATGTCCAACACAGACTGACTTTGTTTCCCAAGGGTCACTCCAGTGTGCTTGATGGCGCCCCAGACCCCTCCCCCAGGGCAGGCACAGGGCCGTGGTGCTGGCTGGTAGACCCCTAACAGACAACAAGGCCACAAACTGCTTGGCCCAGGATGGGGGTGCACAGTCAGGCCGCCCCTACCCAATGCCTGCAGGAGCCACATCCCCAGATGTTTCCTGTAGCCTGCACGACAGGCCGGCCCACTTGTCCCACAGTTCTGAGTATCCCTGACCCCAGAGCCCCAAGTGTGGGGCTTTCTTTCTCTTTTATTAAAAGAACAAGGTCTCCTGTGTCCCAGGCCAGCCTTAAACTTACTACATAGCCAAGGCTGGCCCTGCACTCCTAATCCTCCTGCCTCAGCCTTCTAGATGCGTGCTAGCAGGCCAGGTTTATATGGTGCTGGGCGAGGGCTGCCCGCTGAGCCACACCGCCTCCTGCATGCAGCAGAGGTGTGACTGGACCTTGGGATCAGGGCCAGGTTGTGCAAAGGCCCTGGGGCAGGCTGAGGAGCAGCATGGCAGGCGCTCACCTCCACGCTGGTGATCAGCCAGTCGCTCACCGCCTGGCTCTGGGCTCCGCTGGTCACCATCTGGAAACCATTGGCCGTGGCCGTGTGCAGCAGCACTGGGGACAGAAGGAAATGAGTCACTTGATCCTATGGCCAGGGCCACAGCTGGGATGGAGACCGCACACACAGAGGTCAGAACAGCCCCAGCCATGGACACGGACACACCACACCCTCCGGGAGCCTGGTTCACCTTCAGCAGCAGAGGCAGAGCCCTGGGAGGCAGAGGCAGCCTGAGTCTGCTCATAGACGGACAGCAGAGCCTCATCCTCCACGGCAAAGTACACGGGGACCACGGTCTCCATAGCCAGCATCTCAGGCTCGATCTCCATGAATTGCTGTGGGGAGCACATGCATTCAGGGGACCGCAGCCCCCCAGAGTGGGTCCCCCATCTCAGTGCCCTCAGGGACATGTCGCCTTCTTCAGGGCTCAGGAAGGTAAAGCGAGGGACCTGAGGACACACAGCAGATGCAACCAGAGAGGCAGGGATGGGGCTGGTGGCATGGGCTCACCCGGACAACGTCCTGGGGCACGGCAGCCATGGCTCGGGGCAGGATGATGACCACAGCACCTGCTGACTGTCGCAAGGCCTTCTGGTAGTGCTCATAGGAAAAGTCCAGAAGCCGCATAAGCACGCAGCGGCGGCTCAGCACATCCGCGTCCACCGTGCGCGCCTCTGTATTGAGCACTGCATTCCGTGTGCCTGTGGGGGACACGGTCACAGCATCACAACCCAGGTCCAGCCTTCCAGCGTGTGGACACCATCTGGGGCCTCCATGCCAACCCACAGGCTGTGGGGGTGTGGCTCTTGGAAGGCAGGCATGCAACCCCTGCCACACAGCCATGGGAGGGCCAGCCGGGCCTTTAGGGATCTGCACTGCTTGGGCCAGACGTGAACACCATGGACTCAGGCCAGAGTGGGCAGCTCCCTCCAGGAACGAGTCCCCTGGGTCCTAGGGCCCATCTGCGCCAGACTGGGTGGCACAGCACATACCAGCACATACCAACTGCCACAGGGTGACAGCGAGCAACACCCCAGGTCACACGGCCAAGAGGGCCAGGGAACGACTACCCAGACTCAAAGTCACAGCTCAGTGCAGAGGGGACTTGATCACGGTGGGGCGTCCAGGGCGGTCACCGGGACGCTGACACCCAAACTACGATGAAACCTTCCTACACCAGAGGCCCGGGTGTCAAAGGCACGGAGTGGCTGGGTCTAGGATAGTTCACGTGTCATCACCCCCCAGCTACACGGGGTGAACTACACCCCAGGCGGCAGCTGGAATGGAGCCGGATGTGCACACGCTGAGACCCACAGTGAGTTTAGAAACGTCCATTACTTGAGCCCATAGGGAGCCTCAGGCCCAGGGTCAGCTGAGGCCTGGCCCTCATTTTCCAGAACTGCAGAACCTGGGAGGTGGGGTTGGGGCCGGCCAGGGACAGCTGTCCTGGAATCCAGCGTGGGCCAGGACCCCACGGACACCCTGCTCCCTCCAGGGTCTAACCCTATACCTGTGGGGACCCAAAAGGGAGAAGCAACACCCCCCTCTCTCCAACCTCTTCCTGGCCTCTGAGAGTGGCTCAGACTTGAGCTCTCCTCAGGGCCCTACAGTGCCCCAAAGGCCAGGAGCTGAGGCAGGGCAGCACTGCGCACCAGGCTCTGTTCCTCACTGGGACTTCCCCAGTGGGTAGTGCTGGCTGGGTACCAGTCCCCAGGACCCCACAAAACCACCATGCTCCCCCTAGGAGGGCGGCTGGGCTGTGGCCAACCAGGGTTATCCCGTCCACAGTACAGCCCTCGCAAACATCGGTGGTCGGTGCAGGGATGCCATGAATGCAGGTGCACACTCAGCAGGCTTCTCCGTGTGGCTGGTTGCTCAGCTCGGTGCCCTGCCTGAGTGTCAATAAAGCTTCATCCACAAGCACAGGGAGGCCAAGCCGATAAGATGCCGAAGTCCTGTCCCATGCCCCACGGCGACAGAAAGGCAAGTCCTAAGGAGGCCAGAGTCCACAGCAGGAGGGATGGTGGCCTCCGTCACACCCTACCACAAGCCTCTTTCTGCCCATGTCATCTGTTTCTCTACAAGACCCAGGGGAAGCTGGGTAAGGGGACCTGCAGTGAGGCTGGGAAGAAACTTGGGGCTGAGGGGACCTCAAGGGACTTGTGCCCAGGGTTTCTCATGACCTGCTCTGGCTGGCTGCCTCATCACGGGCCCCCAGGGGTGCAGGAGCCCCATAGTTCATATCCAGCCGAGGATAGGAGAGGAGGCCCTGCCCGGCGATATGGTCTGCTCAGAACACGAGCTATTCACACCCCAGCCCACCCAGGGGTTTGGTGAAAGTTGTGGGCACAGCATGGTGGTCTCGGAACCACCCTCTGGACCACAGAACGCTCTGGAATGACTCCAAGAGCTGAAAAGCTATGCTACCCAGCTTGGTAGCAACTGGCTCCACGTGGCATCTCAGGTGTATCCCCAGCCACTCAGTGGTACCCCACTGTGGACGGTTTATACTGGTGACGATTCAGAAGATACCAGGCCACAAGGGACTGGAACACTGGGCCACCTGGCCACCTAGGATGAGAGCCTCACCCTACCATGCCCCGGATGCCAGGGTACTGTTTCAGAGCCTGTTCTCAGCCCTGCAAGGCATGGGCAACCACTGACTCTACCCTACTCCAGGCTCCCCAAATCGGAGCAGCCACATGGCCCCCAACATGGCAACGTTCCTTTAAAGAGAAATAACACAATTGTGGACACAGGGGCCCCTGGGGTCTGCAGGAGGGCTGGAGTGCACGGACGCAGGCGGGGACATCTGCCCCACAAGGGGTGCCCTGGCCTTGATGCTCAGGGTCACAATGGGCATCGAGGCTGGAAGGCAAACTAAAGACCGGAGGTTCTGGAAGGCCAGATAGCACAGGCAGGAAAAAGGAGGCTTCGCGAGGCCCAAGACCCAGGCGTGAGGACAGCGGCCCCAGGGAACCCTAGCGAGGGGCAGGGAGGGAAAGGGGCGGCGGTGCGGGGCTGCGGGAACCAAGGTCCCGGGATTGGGACGGCACGCCTGGGAGAGGTCTGGGATAACCAGTGACAGAGAGGGGTTCGGGATGACGGGAGAGCCCAGGAGAGGCGGGAATCGGGGTGGCAGCAGTCACTGGGACAGCAGGGGGCTGAGGGGACAGGGCGGGGCGGGGTCGCCAGGCAGGAGATCCGTGGGGTGGGGAGTCGGGGGTCCTCGGCATGACAGTGGGGGCGGCGGCGGCAGGGCACGGGGTCAGGGGTCGCGCACCGTACGGCTGGCCCTGCAGGTCATACTGCTGCATGCGGTACACGGTGAACTCGTGCGCGGCGTCGGCGGCGGGCAGCGGCGGCGCCACGAGTAGCAGCACGGCGGGCAGGAAGACGATGAAGCCGAGCGGCAGGCACGACGCCTTCAACACGTTCTCCAGCACCTCGCCCGCTTCCTCCAGCATCACGGCGGGCTGCAGGCCGCAGAGGCGGCGGCGGACGGCGACGGGAAGCGGTCGGGGCTCCGCGGACTCAGCTCGGCATGGGCGGCCGCTGGGGTCCTTCGGGCAGAGCCAAGAACAGCCCGCGCCTGCCCAAGGGTCCTTCGGGCAGCGCTGCGGACGGCTCTGGGCGCCGCGCGGCCTGCCGGGAAATGTAGTCTTTCGCGTGAGTGAACGCCGCTATAAATGGCCCCAGCGCGCGGGGGGGGGAATCCTGGAAGTTGTAGGCACACCGAGACTCGCGCTAAGGCTTCTCGGAAGCTGTGGGAGTCACTGAGCGCGAAGCTCCCTGGGAGTTGTAGTCCCACTGTGGCGCCCCCAGAACGAAGCTATGGCGGACAGCCTACTTCTACTGAACTCATAAACTCCAAGTTGTAAGACACCTATAGTTCAAAAAACTATTAAAGAGGATTCTCAGTAAAGCTTCGTTAGTGAGAAGAAACACCAAAGCCTGGAAGTGCAGAACGTGCCCTTGCGACCCGGAAGGAAGTAAGGGAACGTGAGAAAGTGCCGGGCTGGTGCCTTGGTTTCCCCTGGGAATTGTAGTCCTGTGGGACAAGCACAAAGGATTATGGGAGCTGGAGTCTCTGAAAGGGGAGGGGGTTAAAAGGCGCAAAAAAAGCAGATGTGAAAGTTAACGAGGGCTCGGTTCTTGGTCTTGACGGTGCCCAGAGCCCCAGTCACCAGATGTGACATCCGGAGGGTGTCTGCGGGGTTCTGAAGTGAATGAGTGAAAAGATGGCTAAAATAAATGAAATTCGGGACAGGTGTAAGGTTAGGGAAGGCGGAGTCGGCGCGGGCTTTGTGCCGAGGGGAGACTGGTAATCACGGTAGTGGAGCTGGTGTGGTGATGGGGAGGTCTTCACTATCCCTGCTCAAGTCTGGGGCATTCTTTTTTTTTTTTTTTTTTTTTTGGTTTTACGAGACAGGGTTTCTCTGTATTGTTTTGAAGGTTGTCGGTCCAGCCTGGCCTCGAACTCACAGAGATCCGCCTGCCTCTGCCTCCCGGGTGCTGGGATTAAAGGCGTGCGCCACCACCGCCTGGCAAGTCTGGGGCATTCTTAACCTCAAAGTTTTGCTTTGCCTAGTGTACATTCAAATTTAATTTCTGAGTATGCAATATTGCTATGGATTTGACCAGTCCCAGTGACTCCAGTTGGGGTAATGTAAGGTGTGAATTAAAATTATATGTCACTCACACCTCTAGGAATACAATAAGTAAATAAATGACCAAACACTGCCACCTACCCACCAGCAGACGCAGGTAAGAATTCAGCATGAGAAGTGGCATGAACCGATTCCCAGTACGGTGTAGAGTTTTTTAGAAGCGTGCTCCAAGCTTGTGGAGAACCTGGAGACGATGCGTTCTCTGATGGCCTCAGGTGAGAAAACAGAGTCTGAGACTCAGACTGCTGGCCTTGTCCCCAAGAGTGGCATTTGTCTGCAACCAAGGCCGAAGCCCATCAGAGCCGGAAGTGCAGAAAGTCAACAGATGTGAGCTGGGACCTTGGATCTCTCCCTCCAGGAACTTAGTGGCAACCCCCCCCGCCACCCTTTCCATCACCGTCAGTCGAGCTTGGTCACAAAACACTGAGCACCAGAATGGGCAGGTTTCCCTCATTTTAATGAGTCTTACACGGTCATGCATGGCTCGTAACTGTCCCCTGTCACGGCACATCACCGTGACTCAGAAACGGAAGGGTGAGGCCATCGGGTTACAGGACCAGGTCAAGATGTTGCCCCAGACCTGGCGTGGGTGGGTCCGTTCTCCCCACACAGATGAGAAGCTGTCCTGGAGGCCGGGGGTGGGCTGCCTGTCCTAACGGGGAAGTCGCTGCCGAGAGGGAGGACTGACTGGTGTGTCCCCCGCCCCACCAGCTCTTACGACATATCAGTAAGGTGCCTGCCCTCAGACGGATGGAGCAGCTGCCCCCCAACTCAGCACACCCCCAGCACTGTGCACCACTGGGTGTGACAAGGTCAGGCGCTACAGCAGCCCCCACCCGACATGCCCACATGTGACTCAGAGCAGTGCCCGTCCTGTAGGTGAACTCAGACATGGAATGCCCCCTTGCCTCCTGGTGAAAGTGAGGCCCAGACCCAACAGATCTGGATCCAGCCACTCTCTGCTCGCCAGACGTTCAGCACAAGGGGGGTAGGGCTTCGTGGACAGATCCTGGCACCTGCCGGCATGTTCCCTGTCACCAGCAGGCCGGGATCTTGTGTCCGGTCCCTTCTCACCTCTCCCAGGAAGGCCCGGGCAGCACTTGCTCTGGCAACTGGCGGGTTCAAGCTCTAAGTGCTCCGGACACTGGAAATGCTGGACAGCGGTTCTCGCATCTTGAAGCTGAGTGACCTGGAAGCCCGAAAGCTGTCCCTGGTCCTCAGCGAGCTGTCAGTGGTGGACGCACCAGAGTGGACCTCGGTGATCCGGATCAGGCAGTCACCAGGACCCCGCAGGCCTAACCAGAGACAGCTGCAGCAGAGGAAGGCCAGCACTGCCCGCTGCACCTCGCGGCTGCGGAAGGAGTAGATGAGGGGGTTGATGGCCGAGTTGAGCACGGCCAGAGCCAGGATCCAGTCCATGCCACGCAGGTACTCCTGGGCCCAGACGTTGGAACCGAAGATGTCAGCCAGTAGCAGGCCGAACAGGGGACCCCAGCACACTACAAAGGCCACCAAGATCATCAGCACCGTGTTGAGCAGCCGCCGGGCCTTGCGGCGGGCAGGAGCGCGCGGGCACTTCTGCCCGTTGGCCCGGACCACCCTAAAGATGGCCCCGTAGAGGCCCAGGATGGCCACCAGGATGAGGGCGAAGACCACCACGCAGAAGAGCACGTAGCCCTTGGAGTAGAGGGGCAGCAAGCTGGAGCAGCGTGGGAAGGCGCACACGCAGTTCCAGCCCAGGAGGGGCAGCAGGCCCAGCGTGGCCGCCAGCAGCCAGCACAGCCCGATGCAGCCGTACACACGGCTGGTCTTGGTGGCCCCGCTCTCGGCCACCCGCACCATGGTGGCGAAGCGCTCCCCCGCCGTGAAGAGCAGGCTGAAGGTGGATGCGGCCAGGGCCATGAAGAGCAGGCCCTCCCGCAGGAACCAGTGCGCAGGGGACAGCTGGAAGGTGCGCGTCCCCGACAGCAGTACGTTGACCACGTAGGCCAGGCCGGTGAGCAGGTCGCTCAGGGTGATGTTCAGCAGACAGTAGTAGACCCAGCGGCGCGAGCGCATGCGGGTGGCGATGGCGGCCAGCACCACGGCGTTCTCCAGCACCACCAGGCAGCCGGCAGCCACCGACGGTCCCCGCAGCGACCCCAGCCCGCCACCGTCCTCGGGGCCCCCGCGGCCGGCCAGCCGCCCACTGTGGTTGTAGTGCAGGACAATGAGGAGGCTGTGACCGCTGGCCGCCAGCCGGTGACAGGACCAGGTGCTGATGTTCATGGCCTCCCCCGGGGACATACTGACAGAGGCCCCTGGCAGGGTGGAGTCGCAGCCTGGCCTGGGTTTCCTGTTGTTTGAAATTTCCTGTTATGTATGCTCAAGGTGCCTCTGGGTGGGTGGGGGTGAGTCTAGGGCAGGGAGGGGCATCCTGAACAACGGTTGAGGGGGACAGGAGGAGCCTTCCGGCACCCCCCGCCCCTGCTCAGTGCCCCCCAGGGTCCTGAGGATGGGAGCCAGTGCATGGGGAGGGGGCTATCACTACGGGACAGTGGGCACCGCCTAATGCCAGCCCAGCCCCAAGTGTCTCCCAGCTTGCTAATTTATATGCTTGTCACCACGCACAGAAGTTCCATCATAAACGTTTGTCACTGGTGCGCAGCAAGGAACTGTCACCCAAACGCACAGCGGGTGCTTCGTGGACTTTTTAAACTGTTCGTTACCCTTGTTTGTTTTTGGTGTGTAGGGACAGCGCATGCCGGGTCAGGGATGGACCTATGGGGCCGCGTGGGTCTCAGAACGGACCTCTGTCCTCAGGACTTGGCCCCCAAGCATCTTTGCCCACTGAGCCACTCACTGGTGCTTAATCAGTGTTTGCAATGTTTAATAAGTGTGTGCCACGGTGAGTGTAGCAGTGCAGCCTTTGTCCCAGCACTTGGGAGGAAGGGCAGGCAGATCTCCATGAGTTCCAGGCCAGCCTGGTCTACATATCAGAGAGACCTTGTCTTCAAACAACAACAACCACAATAACCCTGTGCCATCCACACAAAGTAGGTGCTTAATTAATGTCACCCAAACACAACAGGCGCCTAATCAATGTGCGAGAGCACCTGCAACCCCTGGACAGCGCCGACTAAAGACGGCTTTTGTTTATTTATTTATTTTTTGTTTTGTTTTTTCCGAGACAGGGTTTCTCTGTATTGTTTTGGAGGCTGTCCTGGAACTCGCTCTGTAGACCAGGCTGGCCTCGAACTCACAGAAATCCGCCTGCCTCTGCCTCCCGAGTGCTGGGATTAAAGGCTGCGCCCAGCCTAAAGAGGGTTTTGCATTCGGCTTTGCTAGCAGGGGAAACTGAGGCAGGAAGGTTGTGTACATCAGGGAACTGGGCAGGGGGCGACAGAGTCAGGAGCTGAGGAAGGGTGGGGAAACGGGGTCTCCCTCAGGAGCTGGGGTGGCTGTGACCCGCGACCCCGGCCTGTGGGTGTCACCAGCCCCCTCCAGCAGGCCTGAGGGCGTCGGGTGTACCTCTGGGGGTGGGGTTCCAGGAAGGGTAGGGCGGGAGTGGGCAGGGACCCCACTTCCGGCACCCTGCGACCAGGGTCACCACCACCAGGGGGCCACGAGGGAGGGGCCGGGAGAGGGGCGTGACCCAGCCTGGGTGTCAATCACAGGTGTCTATGACCCGGGCTGAGCCAAAATCTGAGCCAGACCGCGAACCGGAGCCCTGACCCCGGCCTCGGTGCCTTCCCTGCGCTGAGCCCCACCCCACCGACCCCTGAGTGCCCCTTCCTCTGACCCACGTGGGGCCCAGAGTCCGTCCGGGGCCCTGCGTCCGCTCGCCCTGACTCCCTGAGCCCCGTGCGAGGCACGCCCTGGTTGAGACCTGGTTCTCGGGGACAGCCACGCCCTGCCCCACCACCACCCCCTCCCCGCCTGATGCACTGAGTTCAGTCAGCACTGAGGTGCTGGTGAGGACAGAGAATCCCCCATGTCATGGGGCGGCCGCCACACAGCGGCATGGAGTCAGTCTTCACAGCCCGGAGCTCTCAGTGCCAGCGACAATGTGGCCACGCTGTGTGGGGGGCCTCTTCCTGCTCCGGATAAGCACTGAAGACGGCGCCCTAGGCCCTGTGTGCAAGGCAATTCTCCCAGGTGCCGTCCACACACACACACACACACACACACACACACACACACACACCGGCGGCAGAGTGGGGCTTCGCATTCCGGAGACTCTGGCTCCCACCCCAGCATCTGGATGAAGTCATGCTGTGTCCCTGAGCAGAGTACTATGCAGCCATGTAAAGGGACGTGTGCCAGGCAGCTGCAAAGAGAGCCCAGGCGGAAATGTGCCACGTGGGACCCACATCAGCACCCCAAACTCCTGACGACAACCGAGCTGTAACCCCAGTGCTGGGGCTCAGTTCTATGTCCCCTGCCCCGTCTATTGTGGTGATGTCACGGGGGTGATGTCACGGGGCTGGGTGTCTTCCTCGGTCGCTCCCCACCCTGTATGAGGCAGGGGCCTCTCAGAGAACCTGGGCCTCACTGACCGGCTGGGCCGTCCTGCCAACTCCCGCTGCCCCCAGCTGCCCAGGACACGACAGGTATAGGTACTGGTGCACAGACACTGTGCTGGCTTCCGGGTGGACCCTGGGGACTCGAACTTGGGTCTTCGTACTTCACTTTACCCCTGAGCCACGCCCCCAGCCTGTGGCCCAGATTTGCCTGGCTCACAGCCGGCCCCGGGGAGCTGCCATCCTCCTGCCGTAGCTCCCTGCTGCTGGGGCGGTGTTTCTCTGCTCTTTTGCTGTTTGATGGCGTTTGTTTGTGTGTGGGTGGCTGAGCCACCACCATGCCCGCCAGTGGGGTGGAGGACAAGTCTGGCCGTCAGTCCCTGTGTCCACTTAGTGGGCTTGGGGACCGAGCCCCGTGTCAGGCACAGTCTCGCTGCCCAGCCTCCCTTAGCAAGGGGTGGCGGAGGGGCCGAGCACGCAGCTTCCCCCCTCACACCGACGCCCGTACCCTGGGGCGAAGACCACAGGGGAACGGGGCAGGACCCCGGGAAGTCAGAGGTCTTCAGAGCGCTCCATCCGTCTTGTTGGGTTTGTGTTTTTTGAGACAGGGTTTCTCCGTGTAGGGTTTTTTGTTTTTTTGTTTGTTTTGTTTTGTTTTGTTTTGGACACAGGGTTTTACTAGGCAGCCCTGGCGGTCCTGGAACTCGAAGACATCCTCCTGGCTCTGCTTCCCGAGTGCCGGGGTTACAGGCCTGACTCCAAGAGCTAGGGCGAGGGAAGGAATTGCAGACCTCGCGCCCGGACCCACACGGGGTGGTGCGGGAGCCCTCGAGCTGCAGTTCCCCGCGCGGCCACCAGGGCGCGCCCTGTCCTCGCCCCCGGCCCGCGGGTACGCGGAGGCCGGGCGGGCTGCCTCACAGCAGGTTGATCTCGTCCAGGTAGCGGGCCAGCACCGAGTCCCGCACGTCCTTGAACACGCTGCGGACGCTGTGAGTGTCCGTGGCGCAGGTGAAGTGTGCGAAGAGGCGGCGCGCGCGGGACCCCTTCCTGCCGCCGTCGTGGGGCTCGGCGCAGCCCGCGTACACGCGCGCGTACATGTCCATGATGAAACACTTGGCGGCCTCCGCGTCCCGCCGGGGACCTGCGGAGAGGGGTGGGGTCAGCTCAGCTCCCGTGCGCGGCCCAGGCCGGCCTGGAGTTCCCTGCGCGCCCTAGGTTGGCCTTGAAGCCTCTTTGTAGCCCAGGCTGGCCTCCGGGTCACCATGCCGCAGCCCTGGCTGGCCTTGAGCTCCTGACCCTCTCCCCTCCACCTCCCGGGGATGACGCGCTAATGGCTGGGTTCGAGCAGAGCCGGGAGCGGCACCTGGGGACAGCCCCGAGGGGCCCAGAGCACCCTCTGCCATCCCAGCCAAAGGGAGTGAGGGCAGGGGCCGCGTGACAGGAGGCTCAGCCTGAGGAACGGAGGCGCAGGGCGGTGCTCGGCCTCCTGCGCTCACGCTGGGAACGTGTCCAGAGACCTGGGCTCTAGGTCTTGAGTTCAAATCCCAGCACAAGGGCAAGATAGGGTGCTGAGCGTGGTTGCACATGCGCAGGGGTGCAGAGGCGCCGGTGAGAATGTCTGCCTGGAGGGAAGGAGGCAAAGACAGACAGCAGGACCAGGCAGCCTCCTGCTGTAGCTCCAGCCTGTGTCAGCGCCTCGCTGGCTTGGCTAGCCAGTGGCTGTGCCTCTCTGTGCCTCAGTTTCCCCATCTCTACAATGGAAGTCCTGCTCTACACGGTTGTTCTGGTTTTTAAGTGAGAGTTGTTGGTCCATCAAGAGTGCATGCAGGCGCAGGCGCAGGCGCAGGCGCAGAGGGCTGTCTCTGCTGTAGCTTGGGTCTCATTGCACACGGTGCTCACTGATCGACCTCGGCCGTCTGTGCACAGCGCGATGCCCAGTTACTTACGCTGATGGGGACTCTGACGCTTGCCACGCCAGGTAAGTGTCTCTCCAGCCTCAAGGCTTCAATGTTTCCCCTGACTGACAGGGTTTCCCTGTGTGTAGCCCTGGCTGTCCTGGAACTCGCTCTGTAGACCAGGCTGGCCCCAAACTCACAGAGAACCGCCTGCCTCTGCCTCTCAGTGCTGGAATAAAAGACTTGCCACCACCATCCCCTGGCTTTTTTTTTTTTTCTGGCAATACTGGGGATTGAAACCAGGGTCCAGGGCTGGAGAGATGACTCAGCGGTTAAGAGCACTGGTTGCTCTTCCAGTGACCCGGAGTTCAATTCCCAGCAACCACATAGCCGCCCACAGCTGCCTGTAACTCCAATTCCAGGGGATCTGACACCCTGACACCAATGCACATAAAATAAAATAATTTTAAAAGGAAGAGGCCAGGGCCTCTCAGTGCTGAACAAGCTATTTCAGCCTTTAAACAAACACCTGAGAAAACTGTCACAGAAAGCAAACCTTGGGAGTGTCGAAGCAGAGAAGGTTGCTGGGGGGAGGAGGACTGGGTGTCTGTGGTGTTTCCCTGAGAAAGGCCCCAGCAGGGGAACTGTTTGGGCAGGAGGAGAGAGACTGTGTCCTTGGTGGAGGGGGTGTGTCTGTTGGAGGGGTGCGTCCTTGGTGGAGGGGTGTCTTTGGAGGGGTGTGTCTGTTGGAGGAGTGTGTCCTTGGTGGAGGGGTGTGTCCTTGGTGGAGGGTGTGTCTGGTGGAGGGGTGTGTCCTTGGTGGAGGGGGTGTGTCTGATGGAGGGGTGTGTCCTTGGTGGAGGGTGTGTCTGGTGGAGGGGTGTGTCCTTGGTGGAGGGGGTGTGTCTGATGGAGGGGTGTGTCCTTGGTGGAGGGTGTGTCTGGTGGAGGGGTGTGTTTGATGGAGGGGTGTGTCTGTTGGAGGGGTGTGTCTGTTGGAGGGTGTGTCTGTTGGAGGGGTGTGTCCTTGGTGGAGGGTGTGTCCTTGGTGGAGGGTGTGTCTGGTGGAGGGGGTGTGTCTGGTGGAGGGGGTGTGTCTGTTGGAGGGGTGTGTCCTTGGTGGAGGGTGTGTCTGGTGGAGGGGTGTGTCTGATGGAGGGGTGTGTCCTTGGTGGAGGGTGTGTCTGGTGGAGGGTGTGTCTGGTGGAGGGGTGTGTCCTTGGTGGAGGGTGTGTCCTTGGTGGAGGGTGTGTCCTTGGTGGAGGGTGTGTCTGGTGGAGGGGTGTGTCCTTGGTGGAGGGTGTGTCCTTGGTGGAGGGTGTGTCCTTGGTGGAGGGTGTGTCTGGTGGAGGGGTGTGTCTGGTGGAGGGGTGTGTCCTTGGTGGAGGGTGTGTCCTTGGTGGAGGGGCATGACTGTGTTGAAGGAGGCTTGTCACTGTTTTGAGAGTGAAAAGCAGCCCCCAGGTCCTCCTGCAAGGCCTCTCATTCTCTCTGCCTGCAGATCAGGGTGTGAAGCTCTCAGTTTCCCCAGCGTCATTTCTGTTTCCCTTCATGGCGCTGCAGACTGACCACTCTCTGAAACGGTCAACAGGCCGCTGATGTAAGGAGTTGCTGTGGGCTGGGCGTTGGTGGTGCACGCCTTTAATCCCAGCACTCAGGAGGCAGAGGCAGGCGGAGCTCTGTGAGTTCGAGGCCAGCCTGGTCTACAGAGCGAGTTCCAGGACAGCCTCCAAAGCAACAGAGAAACCCTGTCTCCAAAAACCAAAAACCAAAAAAAAAAAAAAAAAGAAGTTGCTGTGTTTGTGGTGTCTCTTCACAGTGCAAGAACAGTGACCAAGACACTGACCCAGCCCTATGTTGAAAATCGTCTTTCAAAATCACCGGTTTTCCCTTCCCAGACTCTCCAGGCCATCTCAGCTAAGACGGGGCTAGGGCACTGGAGAGTGACCAGAACCTCATGGCTGTCAGTCACTCAGCCTTGAGGGGTGTGACTGACAGAATGGCGGTGTCTTGGGGCTCTCAGCTGTGACAGAGCCAGTGGTCAAATACTGACACCAGAGTTCATCGAGGTTGAATTGAGTGACCTTTGACCTGGTGTCAAGCATGGACGCAGCCTGAAGCGTGGCTGGGCGAAGGTTGAGGTAAAAGTGTCCCCAGAGCCTGTGTGTCCCGCGTTGCAGATCACGGCCCGATCCGCAGTGTGCCCCATGCTGGCTGATTTCAGTGTGTCCTAAGCTGTCAGGTGATTCCCTTCTGTTGGTTTAGTGCCCCGACTGAGTGCAGTCCTCTGTCACAGCAACCACAGCGAACTAGGGAGCCTGGCTCCAAGACAGCTGGCACTGCCTCCCCATCCCCAGGTTGAAGCTGGGCTGGCCCATCAACTGTGATGGTGCCACGGATGTCCCTGAGGCTTGACAGACGCTCTCCCCCTGCACGAGCACCTAGGCACCCAGGGTCAGCCACACTGTGAGGGTGATGGCAAGAGGGGCGTGGGGAGCTGACTCCCCAGTGCACACGGCACCACTCTCGGGAGAAGGCATGCATGGAGCCTCTGGTCTCAGCCACCTGGCAATGGAGGCGGAATTGCCCAGCGCAGCTCTCTGATCACCCTTGATTCCTGCACTCCAGAGGCACAGACAGGTCTCACGGTTACAGACCAGCCTGCGCTACAGAGTTGTTGAAGGCCAGTCAGAGCTACACAATGAGACCCAGTCTCAAAAGAGGCAGAGAGGGAGAAAACCAAATGCCTGACCATGAGATCTTGAGCCAGGCAAAATGGCCCCTTCAAGCTGGAATGCGTGGGGTGGTTTCTCCCAACAGAGCTTCTGCCTCTCTCTGAGGAATGGAGACTAAGGTGACTTTCTTAGCAGATGAATGAAAGTTCTATAAAAATCCATTTCTAAGCCAGGCATGGTGGCACACACTTAATCTCAGCACTGGGGAGGCAGAGGCAGGCGGATCTCTGTGAGTTAAAGACCAGCCTGTTCTACAGAGGGAGTTCCAGGACAGCCAGGGTTACATAGAGAAACCCTGTCTCAGAAAACAAGAACAAAAAAATCTATTTCTCTAAACGCCCGCCACCCTTCCAGGAAGAGTCTGAGGGAAGTAAACCGAGGTCTCCACCTAGCTGCTGTGGGCTTGCCTTGCTTTGTGGAAGGTGAGCTTCCGATATTTTGTTTACGTGTGTCATATATGTCTGCATTAATATTCAGTGTAATGAAGATGGTAGCTGCGCAGCCTTTAATCCCAGCACTGGGGAGGCAGAGGCAGGTGGATCGCTGAGTTTGAGGCCAGCCTGGTCTACACAGCGAGTTCCAGGACAGCCAGAGCTACACAGAGAAACCCCACCTCAAGAAACAAAACAAAAAAAGAAAGAAAAGGAAAGATCACACAAATGAGCTAACATATGGATGTTACCAGAAGAGGGTTGATGGAACTATGAAAACTACAGCCCAGAACAGAGGTGGGGATCTGCAGTACAGCCCCGCCTAGAACCCCCCAGTGAGGCGCTGGGGCGTGGTCAGGGTGGAGCCCTACCTAGAACCCCCCAGTGAGGCCTGGAGCCACTGACTACCATGTTCAA